TAAATAAAGAAAAAGAGAAGAAAATCTTAAACCGAAAAATAAATAAAATATAATAAAGTTAACTTAAATATACTTAAGTTAACTCGTAGAAGTTAGTCAAACTGTTGCAGAAGTTGGGACGTCTCTTAAACGACGCTCACAAATTGGTGCCGTAACCCGGGAAAATACTTATCCTGCTTCGGTACTTCTACAATAAATACGAAGTTCATCTTCATTATCATCATTGAAGTTTGATTTGTCACTATTCGCCGATATAATCAATTCAAAACAAAGAGCCTATTTATAATAACATACAACAACACCGATACAATTCATCTTTATCCAATTAGTAATCCTTAGCCATTAGTCATCCATATCCATTAGGTGCTAGTCCTTATCCGTTATCGACCTTCATCTTTATCCAGTAGGTGCACAATATTTATTGTCCAACAAAAACGTTTAATTATTGTTGTCCGTGCTTGAGAAACTCTATTAAATCGATTAAGAGCCAATAATTTGATTAGAATATTCCTTTTTAAATTAACAGCAGCCATAGACTAAACTGAAATCTATTTTATTAAATAAAAAGATCTGACGTTTCGACTCTTCATAGAGTCATTCTCAAAGAATATTACAGAACATTACTGTACTTTACGCATGAAATGTTGTGAAAAGGAAGAAGAATTTTGCCTGTATATATTGTGTGTTACTTGTAAACAGTCAGTCAGTAATTATATTATCAGTCCCTTTTGTTTCACTCTTCATAACATTTCTCTATCCGCCTGGATCAATATTCCTTTTGCTCTTTCTCTGAGAAAGGCCGTCGGGAAACACAATCAAAGGTACAGATCTAACTGTACGATTTAAGTCAGGATTGAATGATGCTATTTAGTGGTCGTCCACAACAATTCAACATCATTAAAAATAGCGAGTTTGACACCTGTTCGGCAAATAATCCATAAAGGACAAAGAGTAACTGATCTCGACCCATGGTATGAACAACGGACAACACCTTCAACAGAAATTCTCGATCCACAACAACATCACCAACCTGCTGACGAAATTAATGATTATATTAATCAAACATGTGCATCTGTTACGGATTCTGTTAATGTCGTCGATTCTGATGGGTACGCGATTAGTAATGAAGCTGAACTGAGCAACGGCGTTACGAATATTGGAAATAATCATCAACAAAATGAAACTGATAATAATAAAATGAACGAATATCCATGCATCCGTGATAACAATACAACACGTCTAATTTCAACAACATTTCATCAATAATTAACACTGGAACCGTCGAAGCCAGTTATAAATAAAGAGGGAGCAGTTAATGTAGGAACACACATAGACATATATAAAAGAAAATACGAACTGAAAGAAGAAAGAGGCGAAGGTGAAGGTGAAAATGAAAATAACTCGGATAATGAAGATGAACAAGACACGTATGTTTTCGGAGTTAAGGATTTTGCTAAGGACAATAAAAACGCTCCTTCTCTTTTATCGGCTCAAACACCGCTAAGCGAAGACTGCGAGATCCAACT